TTTTGTCCTTTTCTCTTCCTGATAACTCCTTCCGGCTCCCCCCAACCTTTTATTTTTCGCTCTTGCCTATTCTGTGCACTCCATGGCACTTGCAGCTGCAGTTCCTGCCCTGCACAGCGTGTGCTTCTCACCGCTTAAATCCCTCCAGCCCTGCTTGCTCCACAAGACTCCTGGGGTTCCTGGCTTGGGACACCCGGGTTTCGCTCCTCCTGCACCCTGAGGTTCTGAACGCCCCCAGTGGTGCCAGGCCGAGCCCTGTGAAACAAGATCCCAAGCAGGTTGCAGGCAGGAGAGGGCATTTGAGGATGTTTTTCTTTTAAAGGCAGCTTAACAAGCCCACTGGATTTCCATCTGCATTTTTAACGAGGTACAAGAGCTACCTTGACGTAAGCATCACTATAAAGAAAATTTGCTTCGCTTTCATTGTGATGTAGAGTTACAGCAATGAAAAAAACTTTTCTTTGCAGCAAAAAGGGCAAGCTGCTTCTAACCCCAAATCACAGGACATTCTGGGGGGCAATTTTACTGCCTTACATCTCTCTGTTTCTCTGTGTGCTGCTGCAGGGGGTTCCTGCGAGCGAAGCCGCGTGGTTGGAGCGGGAGCTCCGTGACCGCTCGCGCCTGCCGGGCCCTCACGCTCGACCTCTCCCGGAGCATCCGCAGCTCCATGGACGGGTTCCCCAGCCCATCAGAGTGAAATTTCATCTTGGATATTTTTGCTCCTCTGTAGTTTTGCCAGAACAGCAAACGCTCTGGGGACCTGGAGCATTTGTAGGTGGCAAATGCTCGAGGGACTGCTCAGAGCTGGGCAAGCCGAGCGGCTTCCCCTCCTCAAGTTGGAAGGAGGCAAGTCAGGGCCTGAGCAGCTCAGACCCAGTTTTTACAGCTGCAGAAACCCAAACCGTCTCCTAACGGCGCAGAAATACAGAATAAATAAGAAGAGGGATGGGATCTGCTGTCATGAAAACTCACTTTACGAAAATGAGCAGCTGATACAAGTCATTATCCAGCTCCTTCTCCTGCCGCTCCAGGATCCTTCCAGAGGCCAGGACAGAGGCTGCCGACAGCCAGGACCGAGGGAGGATGCACAGGACGTGCAGGGCACCAGCCATGAGGGACCCCAGGCTGCGCAGGGCCCGGGGGAAGGGGCTGTCCGCTAAGGAAAAACCCATGGCCCACACAGAACCCTGCCCCTGCTGCGAGCGGCTGCAGCCCAGAGCACACCAGCTCGGGGCCAAAAGTGCCTCCAATTACCCCAAATTTTATTCAGCAGAGCTGCCACTGACCACCCAGACACCTAGAGACACTGCGAATGGAAGGAACAGGATTAATATCCTGTTAGGAGAGAGCTGCAAGGGGAAAAACGATCCTTGTGCAAAATTAAACCAGGCGTAGCTTGTCAAGAACGGCGCTTTTTAAACTAACGGATTGAAAGATTATGAGAGGATTTGAACCCATCTGCCATGCTTGGCCTGGTTTCATTCCATAAAGCTTTCTTAATCAAACTGCACTAAAAATCTTGTCAGCAATGACTGTTTTGGGAAGAAATTGCTTTATGTGGTGGCTTTGATAGACTGATTTCCTGAAGAGGAAGGGGCACGGCGGGAGGCCTGTGGCTGTCGTGCCGCTGAGCCGCAGGTTGCTGCTGCTGCGGCCCTGTCACCAGGGGCACATTCACACACAGGGCTGTCCCCAGCAGCTCGGCCGCTCCTGCCGAGTCCTGCTCCTTAACCTGGCAAACGGTCACAGCTGGGGTCAAATCCTATAGAAAGGAAAGATGCTTGCGGCCTACGAAATGACAGGGTGGAGGGAAAGGGAATAAAGATCAGTTCAAGGCCATTCTGAAAACTGGAATGCCCCGCACTTTGCACCACGTTCACCGATTTTCACCCAGGATGGCTCGGTGAGAGCTGGGGGCTGAGGCCGTGAGGGGTGTGGGGAGAGCCCTGGCACATTGGCCTGTCGACACGCGGGCATTTCTGCCTCTGGAACTGCTGAACTTCCCCACAGAGCCTCATTCCAGCGGCTGCTGCGGCGACGCTCCGACTCCTCCCCACCCCAGACCTTAAACATTTAATTCCTGGTTTCCCTGGTGGACTCTTAACGGACTCCTGCTGCTCAGGGCTGCAGAACCATGCAGCACTCGACAGTGCTCCCCAGGACGGGGCTGCTGACACCTCGCCTCGTCCCCTGCTAAACAGAAACCCATTTTCCGCCCTGGCGGACTCTTAACAGACTCCTGCTGCTCAGGGCTGCAGAACCACGCAGCACTCGACAGCGCTCCCCAGGACGGGGCTGCTGACCCCTCGCCTCGTCCCCTGCTAAACAAAACCCCATTTTCCCCATAAATAATGATCACTCCTTTTTGCACCATTATGCTACCTCAGGACTGCTCTCTTCAGCCTGCCTGTACCCAGAACCACTTGATCTTCTCATTCCATTGACTCCGATATGGAGAAACACCAATAAAAACACCCGTCAGCACCGTTCCCGCACGCAGAGCTGAGGAGCTGGGAGTCCCCAACGCCGGCTGCAACTCCCCGTAACCGCAGGGCTCCGGGCCCCACCGCCAGCAGCCCTCGCTCCAGCCCCAGGTAGCACCACTCCTCCCCTTGCAGTAAACCAGGGCCACGATCAGAATGACAAACAGGCCCCGTCGCCGTGTTTGAGTCTCCAGAGGTCTCGCTACCTGATTAGGAAGCTGAAATCCTGGGGTTTTATTCACAGAGAGTGGCTCCCTCCCTCCGGTTTGATTGGGTGCATGTGCTGAGCTGCTCCAAACTAGTTATTTATGGGGCATCTCATTTTGGCATGACTGTTTCTTTGCATGATCTAATCCCCAAATGTGTGTTTCAAGCAGTTTTGATCTTTGTTTTCCCTGTACAAACACTCCATTTTCAATAAAGAAAAATGTTTTCCTTTTCTTCTGACAGCAGTTGATAATTTCCTCCGCTGGCTTTTTTCTTCCTAACAAACTGCCATCCACCAAAACGACTGCAGGGAGGAAGTGACCGAGTAAGTGATGGCAAAAAAAGAACTACATGATTCACTGGCTGGTAAATTTTGTGTTAAAATGACAAACAGATTTGGAAAGAAAACGGAGAAAAGAAAAAGAAAAGAGACTTTCAAAGCTGATTTCTTATGCATCGTTAAAATGGGGCGTGATTTAAAAAAAAAAAAAATCCTGTGCCCTTATTTTAATTATTATGTCCTTCAGGAATTGCTATGACTCAGTTCTTACTTATTGGGTGACTGGGTGAGTATCGTTGATGGAGTAATAGAGCATTTTAATTACTTCACATTACTAAAGCACACAGTCCTTTAAGTATCCAGAATAAACAGTCTGCAAATGGCTTTTAAAGTTGCTCGAGAGCGCTTGAGATCAAAGTAGTTTAAGAGAATGCTATTGATAAAGACTAGGAGCCTGAATCATGTTGATAAACTAGTTCAAGCTAAGTATTTCAGGCCATCACAGCACAAAGTAACAGGACAAAGTCACAGGAACTCGTCGGCACTTTGACTCATGAGGAGAAGCTCAGACGATGGTAATTTTAGATTCGTTAGTTAATTTCAATTTATCTAAACACTGAGAAACTTGGTAAGATTCAGGGATCAGGCAGATTTATAGCCATGTAGAGATGGTTATTTTGGAAGATTAACCAAAAGCATTTTCAGTCTCTGTTCTTTTCCCACTATAACTGTAAAGCAGGCCATCAAGAAAACTGGAAGGCATTTCTAACTATTAAAACAAAACGCCAGTAAAGCCAGTGCTAGAAATACCCAGGAAATGCCCCAAGATGCCCCAATGCACCAAGACACAAATACCAAAACTGAAGGCCTGTAACGCCCGCCTGTGAGATCGGGTCAGGGGCTCCAGTTCTGCACCATGAAGCCTTAAAGACCAGATCCTGTGACCATCCTGTGCACACTCAGCTGAGCAAGGACAAGTTCTAGTCACTGAGAAAAGAGCCGTGCACAGGACACGTGCTTGGAAAGATGCAACATGCAACAGGCTTCACAATCCACCCAAACTACATTCTGTATCTTGGCAGCAAAACCTGCAAAGACAGGAAAAAAAGCGGAACCGGATGAATCGAGCAGTGCACGAGGAAGGACAAAGTGCTGCTAGAGAAATAACCATCTTTCAACCTACTTAGTACTCAATAACTGAACTGGAAAAAGTTCCATCTCAGCTTGATCTGAGAAGAGAGAAATGTTTCACTGAATGCTGAGGACGAAGTTCAACCTGCAAACTCATGCACTGGCATTCTGGAGGACTGAAAACGACCTTTTCTGTTCTCCCAGTAAAATGCAACTTTGAAAGAAATACAAACGTACCTGCTTCATCATAGGAGACAGTCAATTTTTCCAGCATTTCTCGATCAATCGATAAAATCTGCTGCTCCAGGATGGTTTGGTAGGAGAGCACGCTGTTCTCCTTGTCCCTCTCGTAGTCCTGCAGATGCTGCTTCAGCACCTCCGGCAGCCGGGACTTCACGTACTCCGCTGCGGACTGCAAGGAAAGAGGCAAGGGCCGAATCACAACAGGGGCTTTGGGGAGCTTTCCGTGCACCCACACCCAGACCAACCTTAAAGGAACAAGAGACAGAAATCAATCTCAACAGCGACTGCTAAATAACCAAGTTTGGACTGGAAGGTAGTAGTAAATCTTTGATAGCGTTAGAGAATTAATACATACACACACGCAAAGTTCTTCTGGCTTTTCTTTAGGGAAAACAACACGGGTTAACACCAGGTGGCATGGTTGGACCGACTTCTGGAGCCAGAAATGTTAAAAATGGCAGGAAAAAAGGGGAGCATTTGCATGGCATGAGCCCTGAGGAAACTGCCATCCTCTGCAGCAGTGGGAATCCTGCAGGAATCCCGCGGGACACGCTGGAAGCACGGGCCACCCCACAGGCTTTAAGCACAAGCACCTCTTACAGGTATCACACGGCCGCTGGAGCAGAAAGGCCCTCTCTCCAGCATGATTTTTTTGTTCTTTCTTGCATCTCTGATATAAACCCAACTGGAGAAGAAAGACACAGCAAAGTCCAGTGCTCCAGCTTCTATTTTTCCATGAATGATGGAAAAATTTCATCATTTCAGGCCTTGAAGCAACCAGAAGTTCCCTCTCCTCAGCAACACACTTATCCCAGGTTTATATTTAGTTTTCCAAAGTCAATTGCTGATTAAATTACAACCTTAAAATATCGCTGAAGCCATGTTCAATTTATCTGCAAGCTAAGTCATGTGAGACGAAGGAAATTATTCTGCAAAAAGTAAATTAACTCTCCGCAGGAGAACAACATATTTAAATGCTACATTTTAATAGTATTTTCTTCCTGGAAGGAAAGGCCAAAAGTTACACTGTACACTGATTATTTCAGTACCCTATAAAAATATCAGGTTGGGACATTTCTATTTAATGTTTCCTTTGAGAAGAGGCTGTGCTCAGCATAGGGGAATCTTTGTGCTGTCCATATTGTCCTTAAACAGGAAAACTGAAAACAAGGAAAGAGTTTTTATAGGCTCCATTTCTGAAGGATTATTTTCCACCTAAGAAAGTGATTGCATTCTGCTGCCTATAACCATATACTGCTTCTGTCCCAAACATTTAAGTGAAATTTAAGGCAATTGAAGTGAAAGCCCACAGCCGGGCGGACACGAGCAGAAGGGGAAACAAGCAGGAACCAGGCAGCAGCGGAGACACCGTGCTCAGAGCGCCCTTTTCCTACGGGATCTGCACGTCCCCAGCCCTCCTGGACACCCAAATATCTGCGTCCCAAACCACGCGCAGCGCTGGCAGGTCAAAGCTGGCCTGTCCCTGCCAACTGACACCGAGGAAGCCCAGCCTCAGCTCTAGGTTTTGTAAGAACAATAAATTTAAGCCCCACACGTGGCCTGGCTTCAGAGGCACAGCCATCCACGCAGAAGCCCTGGCTCTCCGGTCCCACCCAAAGCAGTTGGGATCCGATTTGTCTCCTTCATCCATTTGAACCATCAGCAACCGGAATGAAGGCAGTGAAACCTGGAGCAGGAATGTGAAACTGTCAGTGGTTGGTTAGTCTGGGGGAAAACAAGCGATGGCAAAACTCAGCCTGCCCTTGGCAGGGTAAGACAGGACCCACAGAAGGCGCTAGGACAAGAACGAACAATCTGCCCTCTAAAACAAGGAACTGTTTACAGAAAACATACCACGAGACACTCGCTAGTTGATTTTTCCCCTTAACACAAACTTTTGACATAGTTAATACATTAATTCTATTTAAAAGTGTTTTTTTTTTCCAAAGGAGAATATTCAAGTACATACTTTATGGCTCAATAACAGGTAACCCAGGGAAAGCACAAAATACAGCTCCCAATTTTAGGTAAGATCAGTTCATAGCAAAACCACGATACCCAAAAATGTTCCCAGAACCCAGAAGTTCTCTCCTGGGACTCTCAACAAGCCTGAGCACTAAAAAGGTCACTACTATTTTGTAATCTATGCACAATTTATTCCTGCAGCAGGAAAAATATAGGCCTCACAAACATCCTTAGTTAATCGGAAGCCATATAATCATGACAAAATTAACCTGATTCCAAGGAGATGTAGAAAGTTCAGATTAGCATTCAGATTGGGGTGTCACAGATGTAATTACTGTAATCCACAGCTGCTTCAACTGCAGAAAGTAACGAAGGGCCCAGTGGGGTCTGGGGCCCGTGGCGTGGCAGAAGCAAGTTCTTCTGCAGAAGAACTTCTCCCTGAGTGGAGCACAGCTCTCCCTCGACACGTCTGGACGTGGATTTACGGCTGCAGGCAGCTCCAAACGACCACATCCCCAAAAGGAAGGGGAAAAACAAAAGCAGTAAGTGCTGCTGATGCATGGCCTCAAATTCCACATTGCGTTTCTTCCCTAAGACAGCACTTGTCACTCACTCTTTAAATAGCCTTGTTTAAATGTCCTTGCGTGAGAAGCAAGGAAGTCAAGAAAATGTGTAATGGAAAAATTACATGTTCTGTTCTCCTTCCCACTCCTCTCACCGTTAATCATATAGAAATGTATGGCATTACATGGGGCATACAGGAGAACACATGGCCCTTGTTAGACCAGGACATGGATCAGAAGAGGTAAAAATAAATGTAAAATTATTATTTTCCATCATAGGGGGAGGGGTAAGACTGGCACATTTCTTTCAAGAAATAATTTTAACGGATCCAAATTAGCTAAAACAGATTCCGGGTGATACAGTGATGCAGAGCTACAAAGAGGCCTTCCAAATCTGGACATCTAAAGACAGAACTAACGCCAGCAAGGCAGGGTGGAGTCATGAGCATCTTGTCCGACAGGCTGAACCACAGGCACCTGCTGCTTCCCTGTGTCACTGTGTGCACGAGTCATTCAGAAAAAATACCCAGTTCTGAGTTGGATGCAGAGCCTCTCCCCTCGCCCTCCCACGTGGAGCATCCTTACCGCTAGGATAGATTCACCTGCGCGGAAAAGCGCTTGCGTTGCTGCCAGTCTAAACCCACTGCTATATCTGATTTTCAGTCACTGAATCGAGGAAAACGGCCGTTCACCTCCATTTCTCACATGAACACCTGCAAACAGATTGAATCCCGGTGCTCCCTTCCTGCTG